TGCCGTTCTGCGTTCGTTTCTATAATCTGCTATAGTGTCAACACTGACCTATCCTCTTCTATTGTTCCTCAATACGTTTTGCGTTATTTTAGAAATCCGACATACAATAATAAATTATGGAAAGCACGCGTTCGCCTCAGTGTAGTCAAAGGTTAATATTCTTTGTAACGTAATGATAACATTCATAACCATCCTTGAGTGGTTTGCTCATATTGCGTAAAATGGAAGCAGTCTTCTGTGTTTCCGTTCTACTTTTTATCTTCTTTTTTTTTTGTTCTTGCGCAAGCATTGAAGTAAGCAATGCATGTCAAAAATCTTCCTGTAAATTTGATGATTGCCAAAAGATAGATTAGATCTAATATTGAGAAGTTTATAAACAAAGAGACGTTGGATTTGTGTTAATTAATTAAATTAATTACAGTAGGGAAATAACTCTCAGAACTTTTAAACAGTTGATATTCTATCGCTTCCAAAGAAAACAGTTTATTACAAAATACAGGGTGTCCCAATGAAAAGTAGCCCGCCCGTTTCCAGAGCTTATAACTTTTAAGCGCCTAATCGTAGAAACGTGCGGTTTTCGCTGATATGTGTTATTATGCTATAAGTTTTGGTTTAGTGCCACAGAAATTATGTATTACTTATACAGGGTGTTTTTTAAAAATCTCTTTTAAATTCACCGTAACCAAATTTTATTAAATGGAACACCCTTTACTAAAATACCATGTACAAATTATACATTTTTGAAAAGTAGAAGAGTGTATATTTCAGATGACCTAAACATATACAGGGTGTTCCATAATCTCCTCTTTTAAATTCACCGTAACCAAATTTTATCAGATGGAGCACCCTATACTAAAATACCATGTACAAATTATACATTTTTGAAAAGTAGAAGAGTGTATCTTTCAGATAACTTAAACATATACACGCTGTTCCATTTGATAAAATTTGGTTACAGTGAATTTAAAAGAGGAAATGGGCTACTTTTCATTGGGACACCCTGTAAATGTCCTATGTACAAAAATGTATACGTAATAAACTTTCAAAACCTAAGAGTGAACACTTTAGATAAAAATGTCCTCTGTTTTATCGTCCCAGTGCCATAACCAGTTTTCAATTTATGGCCTAGGTGTATGTACCTAATATGCCACTCTCAGTTTTTGTGTTTAAGTTCTCAATCATGTGTATTCTGTGTAGGCTTTGTTACTGTTTCCCAGTGCCACTTCAGGAACTGCACTGTTAATTAGAACCCAACAGTGAATGGTCAAGTGGGAAATCCTACCAAGGCATCAGAATTAATTTTAAATAATTAAATTAAATAAAAAAATCCCGGCCAACGGTGGGATTAGAACCTGGGACCCTTGGATCCGCCAGCAGAGACTCTACCACTGAGCCACCCCCCCTCCTAACCAGTTAGACCACTGGAAAACCATAACGATTTGGCGATGGCGAGATGATTATTATTCATCAATGTAAATAATACTCTGTATTATGAGCTCGGATTATAGGAAAATTGCCTTTTTTGCCTATTTAGCCTATTCTAGGAATGTTTAGCACATTTTGCCTTTTGTCGTAAATTCCGCCTTTTTCTGACTTTTTGTAATTTTATGCTTCCTATTCATGATATTGTTCATATTATTATTACTAAACCTTTCTATAATAAAATTTTGGGTCAATAATAGTTTGTTTGTTGTTAATTGTTTTCTATGAAAATTTACCTGTTGGGAAATCCCTAACCTTTTGCCCTTTTATAATAAACAATTATCAACATTAACATTATCAGTTATACAGACAGTTACTGTATCAAAGTTTAGTTTTATTGCGTATGCCGAAAAGTAAAGAACAAAAATTTTAAAAAGTTTCAGACGTTTTGTGAGTTTGTTTAGAAAGATGACTTCTAAGTTAAGTGATTCGACCATATCCAGTACTTTCTTTCGGAAAAATTCAATATATTAGTTGTATGACCATATTTAACAATTATTCTTAAATATACAGGGTGGGCCATAAATGAGGGACTGACCAAACCTACACCTTTATAAAGTAAAAGTTTAATTGACTTCATTCATTTACTACATTGTATATAGGGTGTGTCAAAACACGAGGTGACGATTTTCTCAATTTTTTAAATGGTATCTATTAATTAATTGGTGGTATAACATACAGAGTATTCCATTTAAAAAGCGAAAATCGTAACCTCGCATTCTGACACACCCTGTATACAACATAGCAGATAATTCAAGAAAACAATCAAATAAGTATAACTAGCTGCAGGGTGTTTTGCTTTAAAAATGTATAGCTTTGGTCAGATCCTCATTTATGAACCACCCTGTATATTTAAGAATAATTGTTAAATATTATTTGATTTTTGAGTTTGCAGCGCCCCTAAAGTTTTTAGTGTATGGCACAAAAAAAATATCGAACCCATATAAGCCTTTAATATTGATGATAAACCGTGCCACAAAGGCAATTCATTTCCCGTTTAAATAAAATGGGGTTTTTGTAATTTTTGCAATCAATTTTTTCGTTCCTCAGCCAGCTCATACAAAGCTGCGGCAATCAATTATTTATGTAGTAAATTTAACGCTCTACAAAAAATTGTTAGTAATTTTTTCGATAAATTCACTTGCTTAAAAGTTATTCAAGCTCAAAGTTGAACTAAAAATAACTCATTAATTTTCTTTTTATTTTGACTTTCTTCTTAATAAATTCTTTCCACTTTTCAATAATTTTGACAGACTTAACAAAATAGCTAAATCAGATATTTTTGTAATAAAGAATAAATTGTAAAACAAATAATGATAGTTTTTCAGTCAAAATACTACATCCGAGGCGACACCTAACAAAGCAAGTGTTTCACAGCCTGAAGAAGAAAAGATAGAAAATAAAGATAATACAGCTAAGCAGAATTCAAAATTAGTAACACCTGACCAGACAATTGACAGCGACTCAAGTTCTGATAAAAAGGAGATTTACGAGAAAATTATAGATAGCGACAGTGATATGGATGTAGATATCTTTGAGCCTCAATCCGAGGATTATGTAGAGTTGCTAAGACCTGACGACATACAAGTGGGGGAGTTTAATTGCAAAGTTTAAAGGGGGCTGAGAAATTCAGTCAACTACAAATATGTGGTGCAGGTAACATAAATCGTAGAGAACGATATCGAAGTGATGATACTAAGGTCGGATATGGACAAAAAGACTTTTAAAAAGAAGGAAAGTGACATATAATGCTTCATCGATTCCGAAGATATTATTGCAAAATTACCTCCTCCCAACTGCATTTGATCTAGGAACAGAGAAAAATTTATGTTTGATAAGTTAGTCCCAATATATGAGGCAATTTAGTGTAATATTTTCATTTTTTCTTTTATCTAGAATATAAAAGACAATTTAATGATGTATTTTTAGTTTTTCATACTATTTGATGTTTATGCTTCATAAAAATATGTTCTAATGATATTTGTATTTTTCTATGTTTTCACCAATATCTTACCTTACCTTTCATACAATATTTTATTGCTGTAAGATTCATATATTTCTGCCTTTAACTTCCGTATCTTTAAATGATTAGTCATATCAAAACCAAATTAATTTATATGGGAATTTGATAAAGGACTGCAGTGTATCACAATAACCCCGTTGAATTAAAACCACTTACTAAAATGAAGTTAAAGCACTGTATCAGATTAGCCCCGCTCTGTATCAATAATAACCCCAAACGAGGGGCAATTATAATACACAGCTTTTTTTTTAAGTGTGTCCATTAGCTTTAAAAAAGTTTTAGTAGTAGAAAACTAAAGGGAATGCAATTCTGTACAGCATACGATTTTTTATTTCACCTAAATTAAAAAAAAACAGTTTTTCTTGCAAATTTATTGATTTTTGTATCATATTAGCCTCGGTTGACCCTATAACTTTTATTTCATAACACAAATAGAAACATTCAACAATTACGCACTAATGGGACACACTGTATATAACTCTCTGAGTCTCTGTCTGAACAATTTAAAAATAAATCTATAAACAACTGAATAAAAGCATTGAAAAAATATATATATTGTTTGTGTTTATGTATTGTTTATTTTCTCATTGCATATTTCTGTAAAAAAATTGTATTAATTAATTTCGAGATTAATTTATACCTAAATAAGATTGTAGGTATATTTTTACAAGCTTTTTATAAACTTGCAATATTTGTAATGTTTGTTTAGGTCAAATTTTGCAACTGAATGTTCAAACAGTTACCCTCAACCGATTCAGCTGAAATTTTGCGTGCACGTTTAATTCTAAATCCAATATTTATTTATTTATTTATTTATTTATTTACCCAAACAGGCCTATAGGCTTAATTACATGGATAAGTTTATACAGATAAAGTTTACTAATTTTATAAAATCGTAAGAAAAGAAAATATCAGAGTGAGCGAGTTTCAGGCAGACTCCCAAAGATGGCAGACTAGTTATTTGTTATGCACCCCCTTAATACGGGTATCAAATGAAAAGGTTTGCTCAGAAGAATACGAAAAACAAAATGACGTTATACTAAATTTAACATGACGGTCAGCCCAAGATGTCGGGACAAAATTGTCTTATCTACCATCATGATATGGGTATCAAATGAAAGGGTTTGCGGAGAAGAATACAAAAATAAAATGACGTAACTCTAAATTCCATATGGCGAACTCATATATCATTACCACGACATAGCTACTGCTCTCGGGTATATACTTGTCTTCTCTTTAGAGCCTTTATACAAAAGCTTGTTTTTAAAAATGTTTTTTAATATTAATTTTTTTATTTTATAAAGTGTTTGTATTTGGTATTCGGTTAACTGAAACAGCTGTGTTGGACTCCTCCTTTATTAAAATAAAGACGTTTAGTATTATTATTAAAAAAAAAAGTTCAATACGTTGACATCCGCAAATTTTTCCAGGGCCTACTTTAAAAACTTTTTTCGTGGAACACAGTTAAACATTTAAAAAAAAAGGAAAAACTCACCTTCTAGGACTAGCGTTCTGGGCTCCAGGATTCTGCGTTGGCTGCGTCGACGCCACCGGCGAACTTACAGCCGAATCAACAGTCGACGGTATACTTGTCTCACTGGAAGACAAACTTCTCAGCCTCCGGGACCTCGACGACGCCGAGCTACTACGCGCCCGTCCACTAGGTTCAAGAGACACCGCACTCTGTCCCGATTCCCGCGATCTAGACCTCGAAGAGTGTCGCACATTCGCCGAAATCCTCGAGGGCGCACTAACGGGCCGCCCGAGCGTCACCTCCGTGAGTTCCCCACCTGTGGGAACAGCGTCGCCGTTCGGTAAAGGCAAGTGGCGAAGTCTTCGCATCGAGCTCCGCAACCACGAGCTTTTGCTGGGTTCGTCTTTAGGTTCTTCGTCCATCGCCGGCGCCGAAGAACTGCAGGATGCCTCCGCTACGCGCGGCACCTCCAAGACCACGGTTCCGGTACAACAGTTTCCTGACGCGTGTGCGCGTCGCTCTAGAGTGATGTCACGTGCCACGTCTTGTAACCAGCTCCAGTCGATGTTTTCGTCGGAGTTACCAGGTGTACCTATGACTTTTCGCCCTGCTGCACACTTAATGGGGATACCGTTCATCGCATCGGGTAATGAAGGACGTTTCCTTCGTACTACGGCAACAGTATTTCGTGATGGATTGTTCCTGTTTTTTGGTTCGCTGCGTATACTGCAAGCTGATTGTGGTCGACGTTGCTTTTCATTTGGTTCGGTGTCAACATACCTATAACATTGTTTACTCTATAAAAGTACCTAATTGGAAAATAGTATATTCTGTAAAAAGGTTGGAATGAAAATTCAATACGAGTGAAAGATTCTAAACGCGAGCGTAAGTGAACGTGAAAAACCACGAGTATCAGATTTTCATTTCATCAGAGTAACAGATTGTACTTTCTCCACAATCACAAACACAGTAGCAGTTTAATATAGTAAAATAAAACTTTGAACAAAATGAAATATTTAATCTAACTTATGTTATTATTATTTACATAATTTGTCAGATCAGAAGGAATATTATCAAATTCCATATAAGAATCATTATATTCACCAATTTTCAAATTAAATTCGACTTAACAAACGTTGCTTATCTTTATTCAAGTAAATTTAAACTAAAGACTAATACGTGGCGTTGAAATTCATGACAATCTACGATGCGGACTTGGTATTCACATCCATTGGCCAGTAGCTATTACATAATGAACATTCTGTCTTCAGAGTTAGAATAAAATTCGTGTAAAATACATAAGAGGAAAGTGTTTCAGAATTTTCTCTCGATCTCACGAGCGAAAATGTTTTCTGTCTCTTATTATGAGTGGTTTCGGAAGAAATAGTAGTGGCCGGGGAGAAACATTGTTCTATTATTAAGAACAAAATATGAACGAGTTTCAAACCACGAATAATTTTAAGACTACAGTAAACTGTGAATACTTGTAGTATAGGCCGAGAATAACGATCAAGGAGAAGCGACAGTAGCTGTCGGTGCCTTTGATATCAGATGTACATTTTTCATTGAAACAAAAACTGGAAAATCGTGAGAAATAAAACTTCATGAAAACGAAAGAAACGAGAACTGAGAAGGATTATGATAGATTATTGAAAAAGGAAATGACTGTTTATGAAAGTGAAGGAGTCAGAGGTGAAAATCTAACTTTAATTAATGATTATTTGATGACACTGAAACCAACTAACGCAGGGATAGAAAGGGCATTCTCTGCAGCCTGGATATATGTAGTTCATTGGGAGACAACACCAATACCATTTGTTTCTTGAGATCCTACTTTCAGAAAGATCACAAATTATAAATTATATTTTATTTGATCCTTTAAGTCAAGACAAGACTAATATTTTGTAACTTATAATATATAGATATTATTGTATTTGATTTTATTTTATAGATTAATACTAACTAAACATTTAAAGTTAATTATTTTAAAAATTAACCGAACCAAAGTTAAGTTTACTACGTAAATGTGTAATTTTTACTGATTTGTAGTCACTAGTCAAAATAATAAAAGTTTCTTATACAGAGTGGCCCAAAAGGCTGGAAACGGCCAATTAATCTCGTGAATTGCTAGTCCTAATTGTACAAAATTTGGGGTACACCTATTTTGGGATACGGGGATTCCAGATTTGATATTTGCAATGTTGCCAGATGTGCCGTTTCTCTTATATTATTAGTCACTTTGGTTTTTCAAATTCATCACCCTGTATATTCAGTTATTATTGGAATTCAATGCGAGTTACACCATATGTAACACTTATGATTTTATGTAGTCTAGAAGGTCTGAAATAAATAAAACAGAAGTCTGCCTAATTGTCTCAATAAATTTTTTAACACAAACTATTTTCAACTACATTAAAACGTAACAATTGAAAGATTACAATATATTTAACATAATGGTTACTTTATCAAGTGTGCTCCATTTGTGAGTTGACAGTACCCTAATCAGTGGTAGAATGCGTCTAGCACATTTCTCCATAATTGTCTAGAAATTAATCGAGAGTCATCGATAATCCGTTGCCTTAGCTCTGCAAGACTTGCAGATTTAGTTTTGTAAACTGAATTTTTCAAATATCCCAATAAAAATAATCTTTAGGATTTAAATCAGGTGAACGTGGAGGCCATTCAATCTTACCTCGTCTACCAATCTATCGTCCGGGAAGTATTTCATCTAAATAACACCGAACATTTACACCAACAAGAGCTGGAGCTCCACCTTGCTGAAACTATATCTGATTAAAATTGGCTCCAAACAAGTTTCTCAGTGTAGGTACAGTTTCATTTCTAAGTAGCATTTCGTAACGTTAAATTTTCTTCGATAAAGAATGGCCCAATTAACTGAGTACCTACTATACCTTACCATACATTTGATTTTTGTAGTCTTGAGTATGGTTTTCACGCATCCAGTGTGGATTGACGTCACTCCAGTACCTTAAATTATGCCCATTTACACTCCCACACAGTGTAAAGGTTGCTTCATCGGAAAAACATGTTCTGTTCATTATTTTCAATTTTATCCATCATTACCTCAGTAAACTAATCTACGATCAAAGTCATATTCACTTAATTCTTGCAATAAGTGAATTTTGTATGGTTTAAATTTATTCTTATGTAAGACTGAAGAACGACCTACATCATGTACTTGTGCAACCCTGCGTGAGGATGTATGTGGATCTTCAACAAAACTCTGCATTATATCTAAAGATTTGTTGTTATTCATAACTCTTTTCGGTCTACCTGTTCGGTATCTATCTTTTACTCCTCCAGATTCCTCAAAGCTCTTTACAGTTTTTTGTACCGTCGCCTTATGAATAGGAGAACAGTTTGGGAAAGTATCGTTGAACAAGTTGGCTACTTCACAAGATCTTTTTCTGTCGCCGTACCCTCTCATCATTAGAACAGTAATTCGTTCATTAAACTACTGTCAGTTTTAGTTAATAATGTAAGTGGTGAACAAATGTCAAAATCACAGCATTCTAGATTTAAACATTTACATTTCTTCAAATCTACATATTTTGCACTGTTTTATTTATTTAAGACCATCTAGACTAAATAAAATCAAGTGTTACATATGATTGAATTCGTATTAAATAGGAGATTCCAATAATGAATATACAGGGTAATGAATTTGAAAAAACAAAATGTCTAATTATATATGAGAAACGGCAAATCTGGCAATATTGCAAATATCAAATCTGGAATCTCCATATCTCAAATAGGTGTACTCCAAATTTTGAACAATTAGGAATAGCAATTTACGGGATAATTGGCCGTTTCCAGACTTTTGGGTCACTCTGTATATTAAAAAAAAATATTATTTCTCTAAAAAAATTGATAAACTGCTGGAACCGCTCTGTATCCAGCTGTATTAATATAAATCCAGCAAAAATCTAGCTTGATTCAAACGGCTGCAGAAATTTCTCGCAGAGCTCGAAGAGCAGGTTGCAATCTATTATGCAGGGTGTCCCAAAAAAAATTTATACACATAAGAAAAAGTTTTGTTTTTTTATAAAAAAAAAAAAAAAACACGATTATTCTTGATAAAATGTTCTACATTACTTGTGTATAAAACTATTTGGAACACACTATGTAATGGGTTTTTTAAATATTTAATAATTTTTTATAACGTAAAACGCAAACGATATTGGCGCAGCTACCGATGCGTGATGCGTGACTATTGCACAATGGGTTAGTCGACGTCTCTATCAAACTTTAGCCATACTTGTGATCGACCCAACATTTTGCAGTAGGCTTCTCTACTATTTAAACTATAATTTAATATTTAAAATTAATGTGTTTCTATTGTTGTAGCATTGTTAACAATTTCGCTATTTGCTCAAGTTTTTGTTTCAACCACTTTACAATATTATATTAGTTTTGTCAATAACTTACCCTTTATTTATACACCCGGATGCGAGATATTTCCTATAATTCTCCTCGATTTGTCGTAATCTACACCTGAGCAGTTCGTCGTCACTCTCCGGTTCAATCTCGAGGCCGTCAATGACTGTTGAACTCTCAACGCTCCGCTGATCATCTGTGCAGACGGATGAATGTAGTTCATCTTCACTCGAACTATTATCCAAAGTCTTAAGGTAGTTATCCAAGTCTTCTAAACAATCTTCGATGTCTTGTTGCATTTGGATGGAGCTTGAGGCGTTGCTGACATCGTCTTCGGCATCGTTCAGGACATCATCGAGATTTCTGCAAAAAATATATTTTAAGTAAGATACTTACTAGTAAATGAGCCCACTACAAAGTTTTGGATCAATCAATAGTATGGCGTTTTGTCAAGCTGTATATTAGTTTGCGACGTGCTCTTTGAGCACGTTGTTAACAAATATATGTGTACACACTTTGTTATTAACGACGTGCTTGAAGAAGACATCGCATTCATTATACAGTGTGTTCCAAAAAGTTTTATTCACATGAAAGAAGTTTGTTTTTCAAAAAAACACACTTATTCCTGGAGATCCATTATCTGATATTATCTCCATCTAAATAGTCAAAGATATCTTACCTTAAAATATTAAAGGCTTCTATGTTTCCACATATTTCAATAAACTCATCATTCTCAATGTCATCTTCATAATCTATATCTATAAGAATATCTTCAGGATCTATGCTCGGCCTTCTGGACGTGATGATGGGTGTAGAAAGTTGACTGGCCGTTTGGAGTTTTTCTTCCAAAACCGGCAATTCTGTATCTAGGAGATTTTCCGATGTTTCGGAACATATTTCTGAGGTAGAAATGGGAGAGGATCTCGGTAAAATAGGCGAGCCACCGTTAAAGTCGATCAAATCGGTTTCTGTAGTAGACATTGTAGCATTGTTGGGGTTTAAGTCATGACCTGAAACAAAAGGAGTAACTTATTAAAAAATATTAAATATACCGTTTTCTATTATGTGGTATTTGTACTAGGATGAACGCGAAATGAACTGATAATTTTTTTGTAAGACGAAACCGGCGCATTATTTTTATCGAACCGAACCTTTATGAAAAGTTAGATTCGAAATTAAAAGTAAATAATTCTTCTGCAAGAATTACTTGAATTTACGAATTGTGACCATCTGCTCAGAAAGTTAATGATAGACATTTTCACACGATATGATTAGATTAGATTTAATTAGGAATACGGGTCGCGTCAAAAAATATAATCTGCGCTCCTGTCTGTAAAGATATTTTTATGTTGGATTCCTTAATTCTCAAACAATATTTATTTTAAATAATACACACGTTCCGGCACTATCAAATTTTCCGGGAGGCATTCCAACTCTACGAAAAAGAAACGGAACTTCGTTTTGCTGTGTCTCGGCCCGAGTACAATACATGACATTACAGTTTTAACAAACGGTGACACGAATATAGTGTACTCGTAAAAGCGCTACATATTCGATTATTTTTTTTAATATTAAAGAAATCAATAAATATTAATTTGTAAAGGATTATTATTTATTATAGAGGTGAAGGGTAAAGGTTAAGGTTAATGAAATAAAGGCCATTAGTAGTCAAATCAACCCTATTTTTAAATTGTATCCGTTTGTTAACAACAAACAACAAGGTTATTTGATCACGTGCCAATAGTCACAAAAATTTAATATAAAATAGTACCAAAAGCATAACTTAAAGTTAAAAGAAATATTTTAAGACATTAAAGAAAATTAGTTTAAGAAAAATCAATTCAACTAACTACTTTTCTATTTATACTTCTATATGCCATCATCTACGCCACATCAAAAGATAACCTTTTACTGATTCACTAGCCAAGAAGGCACCCAACCAAATACTTTTTCTAGTACAGTCTGTTCGCTATACTTACGCGGGTTTCGGATTAACAAAATTATGCAAATTAATCATTGACAATCAGTTCCAATAAGCCTCTTCCCAACAAATTAGGTAAAATTGCCCTAATGGTCTGATTTAAATTAAAATAACATTAGGGTAGGTACTAAATTTGTTACAAATATTGCAGTTGAATTGATTCTTTGCAAGTGTTGACATTGTATGTATATTGTAAATTTAGTGGAAATTTTAAAAATGCCTAGACGTGTGTTAGATGTAGATAGTCTAATTTGTAGTGTACATAAGTATTTTACGGATGAAAAAGAAAATGGCGCTCCTTTAAAATTGGTAATGTCTGTACAACAACGCGTATGCGATGCTCTAGGAATTAGTGAAACCAAATTAAGAGGAGTATTACAAAATCACAATAGTGAACTGCCGAAAGAAGATCACCGCAAAACTCGCCTATCATTGAAAACGAAAGATATTCCAGATGGAAAGAAATTTGAAATTCGTGATACCATTTATCGAATGAGTGCCAACAAGGAACATGTGACCTTAAATACAATTCTCTCGGAATTAATAGATAGAAAATTTGACGACATTGGCAGAACAAGTCTATGGCAAGTGATACATAACTTGGGTTTCAAATTTCAAAAGGAGGATAACAGAAAGGCCCTTTGTGAAAGAAGTTCTGTCGCGCACAAGATAATTAACTTTCTAAGAAAATATTCTAAATTTAAAGAAGAAGGGGCGAATTTTATATATTTAGACGAATCATGGATATTTTCTAGGGGTGCAACCAAGAGAATATGGCAAGATGATAACGTAAAGTCCATCAAACATACCGATGGAGAACGGAAGCGACACATAATTTTACATGCAGGAGGGAAATCGGGTTTTATAGAAGGTGCTGATTTAATATTTTCATTTAAATCAAAATCCAGTGACTATCACGATAATATGAACACAGAAATGTTTGTAAAATGGTTGCATGAAAAACTTCTCCCAGGTTTAAGTGAGCCCAGCGAAATTATTTTAGACAATGCACCTTACCATTCTGAAGTATTAAACAAAAGTCCAACGAATTCTTGGACTGTTGATAAAATTAAAGAATGGTTGACAAAGGAACATATACAATTTCCTCAATATATATTAAAATCAGAATTATTACTCTTGGCAAATATACACGCAAAACCAAAAACCTTTGTTGTGGATCAGATTATTGAAAGTTACGGTCATCAAGTTTTACGTCTGCCACCGTATCATTGCCAGTTTAATCCCATCGAATATATATGGGGAATAGCAAAACAATATTATGACAACCATATTGGGCCTAATGGTTATAGTGACGACGCAGTTCGGGAAACTTGGCGAAAAGCACTTTCAGTTGCACCTCCAGAAGTTTGGCGGAACTCTATATCCAAGTGCGAGAAACTAATAGAAGATTGGTGGATTCGTGAAAATAAAATAAACGAAATAAGTCCAATCATAATAACAATTAATGGTGATGACAGTGATGATGATAACGATTATGATATTTTGGATAATAATGACTGATTTTCATTTTTGTTGGCAAGTTCAATTTTTTTATTTTTCATTTGAAATTCTCTACTTGGAACAAATTTTTATGTCAGAAAATATTTTATTTGAGCTAAATAACCCTCTTATTATAGAACATATTTTCTGTGTGAAGTGTAATATAAAATTATTATTAGGTTTATAATAGCCACATTAGACTCCATTAATGAAGAAGTTTAATTCTGTTCTCAATTATACAAAAGATTTTCCATTTAATTAAAAAGTTGTACATTATTTTTCATTTCATTTAACCAGTTGATATTTCCCCAAAGAACAGGTCAAACTTTCGGGTACTTACCTGGAAATACTCATAAAATTTTTAATCCGAAACCCGCGTAAGTATAGTGATCGCCAATGACCGGAATGTATTTTACAGAGGTGGTTTTACCTCTATAGGTAAGCAGAAAGATAAAGAAAAAATAAATTTTGTAGAGTATAGCAAAATATAGATAGGTGTGTACAGGTGCGTCGAATGTCACCTATACAAGTGAGCCTGAAGAGTATTGGACGAGCCTCGCCTAGTCTAGTCCATATTGTAGAAAAGACGAAGATCAAATCTGATCAAAGTGCGACAGAATTAATCAAGACTTGATTAAAAGCCGATCAAGACCTGATTTAAAACAGAACAGCTCTGACTCGATTTAATCAACTTTGATCTTCTGTGTCTTTCCTACAATGTAGACTAGACGGTCTAGATACTCTAGACGTTTACTTAAACGACTAGTAAACGTTGTATCAACGTCCTAATTTAAACTAAAGGAATGCTCAACGTTAAGAAGACGTTGCCCGGTTGTTTAGAAAGTTCAACGTTAATTTTGGTTATCGTCGCCAAAATGCTACTTGAGAAGTCATCCCACTAGAAAACTTGATGGCAAGATTACCAAAGTAATCCAGTAACGCTTTAGTTTTACTCAAAATTAGAAAAAATCTTGTAAGTGCCACGTTGCGAAATGCCGTTTTGTGTAACTCGTTCATGTTACGGGACCTCGCGCTGCTTTTATCGCAAATACTCGCTCACATAAAATAAGGCATTTCATAACTGGCTGCATAAATAGCTATTAAAGTATTTACATTTATGAAACTAGACAAAATAAATCACGGCTCTATTCATATAAACGCGTAAATAAATGTCAAAAAGTATATTGTACAACGGGATAAAAATATACAACACCATTCCTGACTCATTTAAAACATTACTCTTTAAAGTATTTAAGAAAAAAAATAAAAAATATATCACTGAAAATCACAGTAAATTAGTAGGTACTATTACTGTAATGTTGTATAATGTTTAATATTGTAATGTTTTTTAGTGTTTCCACATTGTTTTTGTTTAAATATTTTTATATTTTATATTAATTGTATATTTTGTTTTTGCGTAGCTCTATTTAATCATCAAACTGCATAATTATTTCATATGCTTTTTTGTTGTTAACATTTTCTAGTGTCTAGTTTAGTCTAAAATTCTAAAAACATGTTTTTTTTATATTATAATATAACACAACACAAGCGTCACACTTAGGTGTCATCTAAAAAGTAGAACAAAAAATGTATTTCGTAAAATTAAACATTGTATTTCAAAATATTTCGAAAAGATTATTTTGGAAAACGACAAATAATGTCAAACTCCTTTCAAATTTAATCTAATTTGACTACATTATTTTTATGTTTTTTTTTTTTTCTGATTAATACACTATTTTATTAGATAATTCGTGTGACATTAGTTGATAACTCAGTTTATAGAGCGCTTAACATTCCCAACTCCGCATGTCACGACAATGTCGCGACGCGGGATCAATTGCCGATAGAAGCAATCTTTTTTATTTTGGAAAAATACAACTATTATTGTTTGTTTATTTATTTTAAATATATCTTATTATCATAATATAATCCCTATACAGTTAATTTTTCTGCTATTTATTTTGTACTATTTGAATTACTCTTCAAAAAAAAATTGTAAGGTAATCTTTACCTAATAATAAATCAGTTCTTGTTTACGGTTGTTCATCTTATTATTTGTCGTATTCATTTGCTTTTTTGTTTTTTTTTTTGGTAATATGTTTGTAAATGGAATCACAGTTTTTTTAATTTCGACAAAACAGTATACGTAAAATGCTTTAAAAATTATTCAATAAGGCACATAAAAGAAAATCTAAAACCAGCCACATATGATTTCCTGGTTTAACATTTTTTTGATAAAATTATTTTGTGGTCCTACGAAAAATATTCCTTACTTGCGTAAAAGTGATTTTTCGCACTCATGTGAAAAATGTCACTTTTCACACTCGTAATGTAAAACAATATTTATTTCTAAATAATAATTACATTTTATTTACTCACTTTATCACACTAAAAACTAAAAGTAAATTTAAAAGATGCAAAATCGAATGAATGACACAAAAAGAATTTACACAATACCATAGAAAAATTAGTCACTGACATACCTTTTGTATATGTGGAGCCAACTATCAATAGGTAAAGTGAACAATT